AGGTACATGTAATATTTATGTGTCAGTGACCTTTCAAAGCAGTTTCAGAGACTGGCTGTTTACAGTGAGGAATTTTCTTTAAGGTCTACAAAGTCCTTTGTGCTTTTTCCAGGAAAGGCACTCAATAAGAACCAAAACAAACAACTGAATAACTCAAATCTGATTGCAGCCAAATCTCTTAGGAGAGCAGGAAAAAAAAAGTTCACATTTGTTTTTGCTGTTTCCTTTCCCCCCTCAATCCAGTCAAATCTCCTTGAGCCATTCCTAGTTCCAGTCTGGTTCAGAATTGCCTGTGAGATGTTTAAGGCCAAGTTGTAGGCCTTGTGTTGGAATCATTTTGACACTGGGAGATTTTGCAAGGTACACTTCTGAAATGATCTGGAAATGCTGAAAACAATGATCACTCCACCAAGTCTTCGGGAAAATTGGTCCTATTGTATAACAAGCCCTGTCTGGAAAAAGTACAGCCTTGTTAATATAATGAGAATGGTTTGTGCGACATCAATGTAACCCGGCAGCCAAGGAGAGGGGACTGGCATGCGTATGTGTGACCACTGATGATGTCACTGAACTAGTCAGTGGGCACAGTAGACTCTGTGGAGTGAGCATGTGTAGTGTGGCTGTCGCATTCAAAGTGACTGAGTACAGCAATGATTCTGCATCCAATTGTGTGTTGAGCTTGAACATTCCTTGGTGGAAACTACTTGGGTGATGCAGAAGGCCTCAGCTATGGGCAACTGGTGGTGGGCAGCTTCGTCATGACAACATGCCTACTCCTACATCATGACTCCTGCAGGGTTTTTTGGTGAAACATCAAATCACCCAGGTGACTCAGGCCTCCTACAGCCCAGATTTAGCACTCTGTGACTTAGAGTTTTTTCTAAAACTAAAATCACCTTTGAAAGAGAACAGATTTCAGACCATCAGTGAGATTCGGGAAAATATGACCGGGCAGCTGATAGCAACTGGGAGAACTGTGTGAGGTCCCAAGATGCCTACTTTGAAGGGGACTGAGGTGTCACTGTTCTGTGGACAATGTTTCTGGTATCTTGTCTCTTCTTCAGTAAATGTCTCTTCTTTTCATATTGCTGGCTGGATACCTTCTGGACAGACCTCGTATTTTACATTTGTCTCCATGACCATGGAGGACGGAGGACTATTTTTTCTCAGGGTAAAACACCCCTCTCTGTGGTGGGAATAAGACTATCACTGAGGCTGTTACGTGGCCCTCTGAAGGGCTTGTCACAAGCCAGGGTGGTGCCTGTGGTTATTGCTCAGCCAAAACTGACCAAACGGAATCACAGTTCCCTGTTTGCTGCACCTCCCACTCCCTCTTCCCACCATCACTTGTTCAGTGGAAAAGTCATCCTGGGCTCGGCCAAGGGCAAAGGCTTTATCTAGAGTTGAAAAGTCCTATATTCACTTGTTGTCTTTTTTAATTACTAGCTTTTTTACCCTAGGCAAGTTAGTTAATCTGTTTCAGTTGTAGTTACACTGCTTGTACAAGAGTGATAATAATACCTATCTTCTATAACAGGTGTGAGAAAATGAGTGTAAGAGCACCTCGTTTAGGCTGACCTACACAATTGATAATTTTCTCAAATAAAAATGACCCTCCCCTGGTTCCTGCCACAGCAAGGCAGAGCCCCCATGTCCAGGCCAGGGACTGCTGTGGCCACACTGGGCCTCGGTCCCACTCAGAGTGCCGGTGTTTCTAAGGCTTTTTAACATTTAATAACAGGGAAAGATTCTCTCAGAACACGGACTATTTGGAACTAAAAGTTTAAAGCCATGGTGTATGTAAGGTCAACTAGGTGTTACTCATGAATGTTACTATTAACCCCCTCTTTGTTCTCCTGCTACCTTTGTGAGGAGGAAGCGTGAGGCTGCGTAACAGGTATGAGGCCCGTGAGCCAGCCAGCAGGCAGGCAGGATGTGTAAAGCCATGAACCTCCGCCACCACCCATCCCCAAAGCCACTTAGTGAACTCTGGTTCCCGGGGTGCGTGGGTTTTTTACGGTAAAAATCCACACTTAAGAGAACACTGGTTTTCTTGGGACAGAATACTTAAAATGAATTTTTAGCATTTAAGAAACTGTAAAACCTTACCAACACATATGACTTTATAAAAGAACAGTATTTAAGACTTTTTAAATTTGACTTCCGCCAAGATGGAGGTTTAGGTGGATGTGCCGTGCCTCCTCACACAACCAAGTTTAGGGACAACTAAATATTAGCATCAGAAAACACAACCAGAACACGGAAAACTGAACTTTTCGGAAGTCCGCTAACAACAAATTCTTCGGCCCGACCGGTAAGGGGCGAAACCGGCGTCCGGTGAGGAGTTACAAAGGAGAGCTCGATTGACCCGGCGCGGAATCCAGACGCGCGAATCCAGTCGCAGGGGTTCCAAACCCAGGATTGGACCTAGTGAGCGACGGAGCGGCCCACCGGGTGAGCGACTACGGAGGAGTCAGTGGGGAGGCGGTGGCAGCGAGTTGACTGTGGTTGCCTGGTTGCACGCGGGTGAGGGAGTGAGCGATTGGACCGGCGACGGCGGCGCCATTTCCCCGCTCTGACCACGCCCCCACATACAGCGTCACAACCCAGCGACCTGGGAATCCAAAGTGCCGCTCCTCCCACTTAAAGGGCCAGAACAGACCAAAAATGTCGCAGGGAGACCTCAAAGCCCCAGAGATAAATCTAAGTGACGAAGAAATAGCAAATCTCTCAGACGCACAGTTTAAAACACTGGTCATCAGCTTCCTCACAGATCTGGTGGACTATAGCCACAAATTAGAGAAACATATGAAGGCTAAATTAAGGGAAATGAATGGAATTCCACAGGAAAACCATAGAGATGAAAAAAAAACTGGGACTCAAATCAATGGAGTGGACCAGAAGGAAGAAGAAAAAAATCATCAAACAGAAAGGAATGAAGAAATAAGAATTCAGAAAAATGAGGAGAAGCTTAGGAACCTCCAGGACATCTATAAACGCTCCAATATCTGAATTATAGGGGTACCAGAAGGGGGAAAGACACAACCACCAGTGGAAAAACTATTTGAACAAATAATAAAAGAAAATTTCCCCAATCTGGCAAAGGAAATAGACTTCCAAGAAATCCAAGAAGCCCAGAGAGTACCAAAGAAGTTGGACTCAAGAAGAAACACACCAAGGCATATCATAATTACATTAGCCAAAATTAAAATGAAGGAAAGAATCCTGGAAGCAGCAAGAGGTAAGGGGACAATCACCTACAAAGGAGTCCCCATCAGGCTGTCAGCAGATTTCTCAAAAGAGACCTTACAGGCAAGAAGGGGCTGGAAAGAAATATTCCAAGTCATGAAATCTAAAGACCTACAACCAAGATTGCTCTACCCAGCAAAACTTTCATTTAGAATGGAAGGACAGATAAGGTGCTTCTCAGATAAGACCAAATTCAAGGAGTTCATCATCACCAAGCCCTTATTATATGAAATGTTAAAGGGACTTATCTAAGAAAAAGAAGTTAAAGAAACATGAACAGTGAAAGGACAACAAACTCACAGTTATTAACAACCACACCTAAAACGAAAGCAAACTAAAAGGACAGCTAGATCAGGAGTGGAAACATAGAAATGAAGATCTCAAGGAGGGTTAGCAACAGGGGAGTGGGAGGAGGAGACGGGGGGAGAAGGTACAGAAAACAAGTAGCATAGACAGTAGATAGAAAATAGATGGGGGGGCAAGAATAGTAGGGGAAATATAGAACCTAAAGGACTTGAGACACATGGACATAAACTAAAGGGGGGTAATGGTGGGGTTAGGGGGGCAGGGTGGAGGGGAATGAAGGGGGGAATAGAACAACTGTAACAGCATAATCAATTCAAAAAAAAATAAATAAATTTATAAAAAAAAAAGACTTTTTAAATTTAAAAAATCCATTTGTGAAGCAAGTTTAAATCAGAGGAGGGCTATGTGTCAGTCACTACTGTGCTACTCTACTTACTCCGAGTAAAAGGATTAGTTCATCTGAGTGTGCAGACATTTTTCCTAAAACTTTGTTATAAGTGATGCATCTTCCCTTTATGGGAGTCAAAAAATAATATGACCACCAACCTACAGAGAAGATAAATATTTGTCAAATGAATGAATGAATGGTCTTTTGGAGACAGGCTTTTGAATGCAGAATCTTATTTAAATACAATTATTTAAAGGAAATTATTTAAAGAAAATCTCTTTGCCAAGAGGCCTGGGGTTGAGGTGCTGGCCTTCCACAGAGAAAGCCTCTGCTGAATTTCAGCCCCAAGATGTGGGCTGCGCTCCATTTAAGGTGAGGAGGGCCGGTGACCCTGGATCCCCTGCCAGGACCCAGCAGCCCCAGTGTCGAAAGATGTGCAGGAAAAACGAAAAGGGCGCTGGCTGCTTTAGCGCAGGGAGGAGCAGGCTGAGGTGGGCTATCAGAGAATGACACTCAAAGATTTTGAGAAAGACAGTTCTCTTAAAATGCACCTAAACCAAAGAGAAGGGGTTTAAGGTAGGCATTAAAAGGATATGGTTTGGGCGTGGTGGTGAAAGGCACGTGACAGTTGCCGTCTTTAGGTGTGCAGGACCGAGGTGATAAGCACACTCGCATCGCTGGGCGTGAACAAGGCTGACAGTGAAGGGAACGTTGGGTCTCTCTCCTTGTTCATCTCTTCCAGTTTGATTGGAAGAGTATGGAGTTCCCTTCTTGGACATTCTGGGTCCCCAGGGGCTGGCAGGGATGACCCCCGAGGGATTCCTGCCAGGCCAGACTCTGCGGTGAGGCAGTGATGTGGCCAACACAGAGGAGGACCCGCTGAAGACAGTGTGCTCAGGCCGTCTTGGGACAAAGTCAGAGACGTATGCTCACCTGAAAACCACCTCTGCACTTGTAAAACAAATTCTGTGTCATCTGGTTTCTAAACTGGGGAGGGTTACGAGTTTGCTTTCACCTGAAGCCGACAGAATGAGTGCAGCCGCGCACTGCGCGTTACCTTGGGTTTATATGCATTCAGCATGGACATCTCCACGTTTTGACCTCTGACGTGTTTCGGCTGCCTCTGGACAGGAGGCGACGACGACTTCTGGTTATTGCGGCAGACGCAGATGAAGAAGAAGAGTAGGGCGATGGCCAGAGGGATAGCCACGCTCGGCACCAGTATGTACAGGATTTCCATTTTATTCTTTTCCTTGGAGTCCTTCGAATCTGGGTGCAGAAATTTTTAAAAAAGTTATACGAGTTTGAATAACATGTATATTACATTGCATAGTTTAAAATGACCCCCTATTCTTTATCCACAAAAGTCCACTGTGGAAAAAAAAAAGAACTGTTGCTTATTACAATTTGTTTCTATCAAACCTTCAATATAATTTATTGAAGTTTAAAAGTTTAAAGTTCAAATGTTTAAAAATTGCAGAGGGAAATTATAAAGCGTTCGCATGCGTGTGGGTCCCCCTCTGCTGCTGCCTCTCCTCAGCAGCAGACCTGCCTTTCTCTAACACCTTCAAAGTTAAACGCCAAGTGAACGGCCTGTATATATCTGAGAGCATTAATGGGGACCACAGGGCTCTTCTTCCCTTGGCTGCCAGCCCAGATCAACCGCCGCCAACAAGATGTTCCAGAAATCATGCCATCATCTGGGCTTGTTTGGACATACAGGGCTACTGCTGCATCTTCCAGATTCAACATCACTGAAGAATCCTGGCCCCTGCGACCACACACCCACTGCCCTGAGACCATGGGGACTGGAAGTCAGGGCCAGCTCAGCCTTTGACCTTGAGCTGTGTGACCTTGAACAAATCATTTACCTCTCTGGGCCTCTCTTTCCCTCATCCACAAAAGTATCTATTTTGGGTAGTATCTATAATTCCATCCAGCATAGCACCACTGTATAACTTGATACTTTTTTTTGAAAACCAAGAATTCTTAAATGGTTTCACATGGACCCAATAATTATGAGTGCTAACACTTTGCAGTATATTTTTGAAATCTTATACATCCACTGTACCTACCATTGCTTGGAAAAGAATATAATACATGTAGATATACTTCTTTTTATTGGTTTGAGTCTGACCTTTAAAACTAAGTACTTTAGGCATATAGTATCATTAATAAATTATTTTACTGGTAAGACAGATAAGAATTACGGGGCAGTATTCAGAGGGGCTGCATAATACATGCCCTGATCACTAACACCCTCATCAGCGATCCTGCTTTAAGAAGATCCAGTGCGAAAATTCAGATTGACACAAAATTCAGAGGTGATTATTTATTTAACGAAATAATTAACCACGCATCCATTCACTCAACCTTTCACTTGTTCAGTAAGTCAATAAACAAAAATGACTACTGCTGAGCACTATTGTAGGGCCTGGGAATATAAAATTATATATGATGTGGCTTTTGCCCTTCAGGTGTGCATGGTCTAGTAAGGAAAACAGAAGAAAAGATTATTACCCTATATTTTTGGAAATGCTATCAGGGAAGTATGAATACAATGGCAAAAACACCCAAAAAGTCCCTTTAAATAGTGAGCTTCCCTAGTACATGTAAACGGGAAAACACTACACGTAGCTTCTGCTTGCACATACCTTCCTGGGGAACCTATGTTGAATAGATAGAGCGGTAAGTAATCACATTGCCTTCTTCCCACACAAGCAAGCTGAAGACAGAAAGGGAAGAAGGGGCAGCCAAATCTGGGTGATGGAACTGTGCTCTCAGGGTTAACCCTCAGAGAGGAGTTTGGGACGGTGTAAAGTCTGCTTATGGAGTATAACACACTTTAACATTTATGGAGCATTTTCTGCTGTCACAAAATCATGTTAGCTGTTGTTACTAATGGGGCCAGGTACTGTTCTAAGCAGTTTTCATCGATCCATTTATTTTATCCTCACAATCAAACCCCTGAGGAAGGTGCCATCCGTATCTCCATTTTTACAGGTGAGTGGTTGGATAGTTTGCCCAAGGACATGCAGCTAGTAATTCAAAAGCTGGGACTCCTCCCTCTTGGTCTCGTTTCATAGGTCCTGCTCTAGCTCCTACACCACACTGCCAGTAATTTGAGAACAGCTGCAGTTTTACATTTCTTATGGGAGGATTCCTGTTGCTTCATATGGAAGGGTAGGAAGGTCTGAAATGTGGCCAGTAACACTGAAGCTCTGCCAGATGTGCTACTTTTGAACTCCCCACTTTACATACTGTGGCAGGTAAACATATAACCCGGGCATCTCTGGGGGGCCCTAATGACTAGTCATTCTAGTCATTAGGAACTGGGTCACAGGTTCTTCAGTAACAATTGTGTCTGCAAGTCTGTAGGTGGGCAGATAGAAATCACATGGAAGAATGTCTACTATATATAAAAAAAAGAGTGTCTACTATAGAGCCTGCCAGCTAGATGTACAGGTAGATCTCTATCATCTATTCATCCATCCATCCACTTTTGAAACAATGGAGCAGAATAAAGGAAGTGTACATTTTAGAGTCAGAAACTCTGAAGACTGCCTTTGTCATTATGTATGTAACCCTCTGTAAGCACTTAGCCTCTCTAAGCAAACCCATCTGTGAAATGGGAATGTTAATACCTATTTCATAAAATTGCTATAGACAATAAATGAAGTAACATGGAAAATGTCTATTCTAGTACCTGTTACAAGTCAGTCACTCAATGTTTACCCCTTACCCTTAGGGGGGGAAAGGATTCAGGGATAACAGTTTTTGGCTGGGAATTCTAAACACCCTTAAGCAGCAAACAACCTCTCTTACCTCCATCTCCTCTTTCATTTAGTCTCATTTGTTCACATGAGAGATAATGTTCATGAAAGAACCTCAGAAAACTGAAAACTGCTACACAGTTGTTGGATGCTATGATTATGATTATTAAGATGAAAAAACCCTTTCATATTTCTCAGTACTGTAAGGGGAGAAGTCCCTCTTGCTGTTCTTGGATTTTCAGTGAAATCATTATGAGGGTAACGATTACAAAAGGAATGAGGCTGATTTAGGACGAATGTAACACTAGTCATTTTTCTGACCCAGATTTTTAGCAACAAGAGAAAGCAGGGCTCTCACCTGTCTAGCAAACAAAAGAGCCTATTCTGTACATTCCGTATCAGATTATTCACAGAACGCCTTTGATTGTAAATGAGATGTCTGGGACAAATCCCCCTGTAGGTCTGCAGGAGAACAAACTTCAAGAAGCTAAATCCTTTAAACACAGTCAAATCTGGCTCCTTTGGATTACACTGAGGATATGCAAATGAGCACAAGATCTTCTTGCCAAGTGAAATAATCAAGCAGAACAATACGTGGTCCCCTTGGAAGGGACCGAAAGCCAGTTCAGGCGTATTGTGAGCCTGCCGCACAACAGGCTCACTTTCCCCCAGAGCTCTCCACGTTTGCCCAAAGGGGCGTTGGTGTCTGGCACGAAAAACTTTATGTGAAAACATTCCTCAGAACAACTAATGTTACTCATGGAAAATTAGAAAGCTAATATTTTCCCGACCTCTTTGAAATGTCCTAGCATTTTTATTCATCGTTTTAACCCTGTGCTTGGTGTTATCTTGATTTTACACATAGAGAAGTTCAGTCTGAGAAAGAAGAAATAATTTGACAAAAGTAGAAAGCGTTGAAATGCAAGCCTGTCTACTTTTAATACTTCCATGCTTTATAATTTATTTTACTAATGCAAGTTAGAATACTATATGGAATTGTTTTACATCGTCTCCTTAAGAGTCTGAGGTTCCGTCTCAATGGGGGCTAATATCCAGCAGCGATCATACTATTAAAGAGAATCACATTAGAACAATGGACATTATTCTGCCTGCGCACTTTAAGGGGACACAGACGCCTCCAATGCGCGGCAAAGAAAATGAGCAGGGTGCAGATTTTTAATACTTCCAAATAGCTGCTTAAAAGTTAAATGCGCATATTCATTACATCAAGTTAAATGGTTGGAATTTTGAAACCAGCAATTTAGTCTGGAGCCTGTGATGAATTTCCTTTTGGAAAACAATTTGGTATCGCAGTTCACATCTGACATTCCTGTTTTATTTTTACAATGATACTCAATACTCTGATTAGTAATTAAATATAATAGAAGAAACACTTCTTTCTCATCCCGGGCTTAAAGCAAGGCACACATGCTTTCTCATTCAAGAGGTACTTTTATAAAATGAAACGTCATTGGGGATGTTGCTTTTGAGTTAAAAACAACAAAATGCTTGGATCTGCAATATGGCAAAGGTGGGAAGAAACCTTACAGAAACTTAGACTTCAAAGAAAATTAAATAAGTTAAATTATGATCTTGTCTGAAAAAAATTTGAGAAGCATAGACGACGAATAGGAATTGCTGCCATCTGTTCCTCGTAGTAACTATACAATCGGTGGGTCTCTAGCAGACAGGTCTGCACTAGTGACGGTGGCAACCAGGCCTCCAGCGGCCATGCTGGGCCCAGCCTTTCATCCTCTTGACTTAGTGATGGAAATACTAAGGAGGTGGACTACTGCCTTGTGCATTCTCAAGTGAATTCTTAAACCAAGAGTTCCAATAGGCCATGTATAGTGATTCAAATTTTTCTCTTCAGAAAATGTTTTAATCCCAATAATTAGGAGACTAACTCATCTGTGAATACTTGAGAAATTAGTAACTGGAATCCAAAGGCATTTCTATAAATTCTCAGGGGCTCTCAGTTTTCTCCTCTATAAAAGGAAAAAGTTGGGCTAACCTTCTCTTTTTTAATTTAAAAACTTTGAATTATGGGCCCTGGCTGGGCAGCTCAGTTGGCTAATGTCATCCCCATACACCAGAGTTGCAGGTTTGCTTTTCAGTCACGGAACATACAAGAATCGACCAATGACTGTGTAAATAAGTGGAACAACAAATTGATTCTCTCTCTCTCTAAAATCAATTAATAAAAATTTAAAAAACGTTCAATTATGATGAAAACACATAAAGAACTTAACATCTTAACTTTTTTAAAGCACGCAGTAAGTAGTATTAAGTGTATTCGCATTGCTATACAACACATCTCTACAACCTCTCATCTTGCAGAGCTGAATTCCTATACTCATTCAACTTGTCCCCACCTCCCCCTTGCCCCAGCCCCTGGCAGCCATTATCCTACTTTCTGTCTCTATAAATGTGACTACTTTAGATACCTTCTATAAGTGAAACTGTACAGTATTTGTTTACAACTGGCTTATTTCACTCAGTATGATGTTCTCAAGGTTTATCCATGTTGTTGCATGTGACAGGATTTCCTTGTTCTCAAGGCTGAAAAATACAACCTATTTTCTTTACCTATTGTACATCCACTGATGGCATTCGGCTCACTTCCACCTCGGAGACATTGTGCAGAATGCTGCAGTGAACATGGTTCTGCAAATATCTCTTTGAGATTCTTCTTTCAGCTCTTTTGAATACACACACAGAAGTGATATTGCTGGATCATATGCTAATGTATTTTTAAATTTTTTGTGGAACAACCACATTGTTTTCTACAGTGGCTACCCCATTTTGCCCTCCCACAAGCAACGTAAAATGGGTCTAATGCCTTTACATCTTTGCTAACACGTGCTATTTTTTTTCTCCTCCTTTTCCTCTTTCTTCTTCTCCTTTCTCTCCTTTTCCTTCCTCTCCTTCTTCTTCCTCTTTCCTCTCCTTTCCCTTCCTCCTCCTCTGCTTCTCCTCCTCCTCCTTCTTTTGATAGTGTCCATCCAAACAGATGTGGCTTTGATTGCATTTTTTGAGAGACTAGTGGTATTGAACATGTTCTCATATACTCATTGTCTTTGTATATTTCCTTTGAAGAAATGTCTGTTTAAGTCTTTTTTTCCCACTTTTAAAAAAGCTGAGCTAATCTTTAAGTGCCAAAATTCAATAGGTTTTATCAAATTAAATCTTTTTGATTTTTGATAGATTTTAGAGTGGTAAAACAACCACATTTAAACTTTAGCAAAGCATTTGATCAAGTGATTATCTTTATGGACAAAAAATGGAGGGCTAGATAATATTAGATAAATTTGTAATTCACCATGTGCCTGAACCTTAAGTTTTAATCAGAAAAATCACAGCAAATTGTGGACGGCTATGCTTGAGGAAACCTGTGTGTTCAACATTATTATCAACTACTTGATAATGACACGTTTCAAACTTGAAAATGGCATGAATCTAGGAAAGATACCTACCTGACTAGAGAAATTTTTTGTAGAGGATCATACACAAAGGCTAAAATAATGACCTAAAACTACCAGTTGAAATTTTATAAATAAATATTATAGCTTGCAGTTAGGTTGAAGACCTTGCCTAGAGAAGCACATGATTAAGCAAGTTTGCTAAATGATTTTTGATATAACCAAACAAAAGCAAAACAAAAGAGAAACAAGTAAGTTTTAGTGAAGACTTGCAGGCTCAGTTGGACCCAGCAACATCACAATGAAACTGCTCAAAAAGATTCTCACATTCGGCACTCAGAGCAACAAAATCCCCTCCTCTGGCCACACTAAGTCACGGTCAAAAACAAGGTCCTACTCTACCTGTACTGGCAAAAACACTCTGAAAGATGTCTTCTACTCTGTTATGTTTTTAAGAAGGTCTTAGAAAAAGCAAGACACATCCAGAGGAGGAGAAGGATAGGAGGAAAAGTTTGCAGGAGCCACATGCTCTTTAAATCAAAGAAAATCAGATAAAGGATGTGTAGGTGTCTTCCGATTTGGATGAGAAATGACACCAAAGGTTACCAACCAGATCCAGTACATAGACTTGTTCCTTATTAGTGTTTTAAAAAATAGTGGCCAACATTTTTTTTAAAATCAGGAGATTTAACATGCAAGTTCTGGGTCCTGGCTTACAAAGGCAGGTTTTGAGCGGCAGGAGCCGCCCCGTAACCACGCTGTGGCAGAAGAGCCGTCCCTGTCTCGGGAGGTGCCTGGCAGTATTCGAGCAGAGGCTGGATGGTTTCTGTGGCTTCTCCCAAGGTTCTCCGATTTTATAAACTGAGTTGACATTCATTCTTTATGTCCCTGAAAAACTTTTGACTCTCTTATGAAGCAACTGATTTAAAAATACCAATATTTTCCCGAGTGCCCTCAGCCCACCAGATCCAGCTTAGTGCTTGTCTGCCCAGCTCTAAGCTGTGGCTGACCTCAGTGTGTACAATGGTATTAATAGGCACCTTTGTCCTCTGGCTTCCAGTTAGGTTCAGCCAAGGGGGGAATTGGCAGGATAAAAAGAACTGGCCAGTGCGAGAGTATGGTTGCTGTGTTTGTTCCCCTGACTCCCCTCCTTGCTGGATTGAAGAGAGTCGCCTCCATCCCTCTACCAAAGGTCATAGCCTGCACAGCCCTCTCCCTTCTGCTTCAATTGTGGGGTAAGGTAACTGATCGTCCCCTTGACTTCCCAGGCTTAGGATGGTAATGCCTCCCCATCCTGCTTGCCTGGGTTCTGCGCCTTACTGGATTTTTCTATTTCTGCTACCAGTATACATAGTCTCCTCATAAAATTCTCCTTAGTCTGTTTGCTTGTGCCTTTAGCTTCCTGCCAGAAACTTGACTGATACAGAGCCAATGACAACAATTCTTATGGTGTTGGATCAGAATTCTGCCACCATAACACATAACATACAAAAATCCCAAAATGGTCAATGGGAAATGAGTAGAAATACAGGATCTAAAGAAATACAGGCTTTATCGATATTTGCAAATACTGTGAGATTTAAGCAGTCTAGAAAACACCAAAGTTGACTAACTTTTGTATTCTTGTCCTCAATTTTTTTTGGTTCTTTGTCGCTTGATATAGTGATATTTTAATTTCTTCCATATTTATAAACAAAACACTTATTTTAGTGTCTCCAAGCATAAAATATACTTGGTTTGAAATCAAGTGGTTGGAACACTTTTGACTTTTACTTGAACCATGTTCTTCATTCCAACTTTCGTTGAAGAAGCTATCAATCAATAAATCAGTTGTTTCTGTAATTAGCACACAGTACCTCATATTGTGGTGCTGTTTTGAGGACCGATGCTCAATCAAAGTGGACTTTGTTCTTGAACAGCCCTAGTAAGTTAGACAACATATGTTGACTTGAGGACTATTTTTTTCTAATAGATTTAAGATTTCTATCTAATGTTGAAAAATGGCACACATTTGTATGAAAAAACCTAGAAAAGTTAAAACTGTAGATTAAATAGTAATTCAAATTAATCCTAATATATTACGAGAGAGGAGGGGACATGTTGGTGCCATAATTTCTCTCTTCATGGCAATGTTGGACTCAAGTCTGCTGAAATGTATTTCTGTGCCACAACTGAAGCTCCCAGAAAAGGCTGCTTAATTGATTGTCTAGTGATATTCAGAAGGAGAAGGAGTAGAAGGAGGAAAAGAAACAGGAGTATCACTCTGTCACCAAAGGGTTAAGAGGGTTAAGATGACAAGGAGTACTTCCTGTTGACCTGGTCGTTGACCCAAAGAGCTGAGAGCTTCCAGGTGGGCTGGCACACTGGGTAGAGACTAGTATATACTGGGACAGTGGAAAAAACCTTTGAGAGAAAATTATTTTATGGTTCAAAATGTGTCGAAAACTTGACTCAGTTATATGTTTTGGGCAACTATTGTTCTTTCCTTTGTTGAAAATATATAAAGACTGGAGACCAAAGTACATCTTGAAAATCTCTGCAGTATAAAAATAACTCTTCCGGAAGGCTTCAAACTCCACAAAGCAGTACTCTATTCCTTCCTCCTTCCCCCTCCCCACCACCCAATTCACTGTAATGTTCAATTTGGGTTTGAAGAAATGGCTGAAAGACAAATTGCCTTACAACAGGTCTTCTATGAAATATGGGAGAAGGCTGCTGACAGAGGGAGTTAAAAACTGCAGTGTTCGCAATCTGGAAAACATCTGCCTTGCCCCAGACTGTAAACCACCACATTGTAGAAAATGGTTTGTGACAAAGCAGAACCCGGGGCGGGTGTTTGTAAGGTTATGGGACAAGTCAGGGCTATTCAGGCACAGAACTGGGCAACGTGCCCTTTGGCAAACTGCTGCAAGGCAAGAACTTAAAAGGAAATACAAAAGCAATAGGCCAGGTATGAAAACTCCAAATGGAGCCAAAGGTTCACTACTTTTCTTATCAATGGGTACTCTTCAGTGAAGCTGGTATTGAGTAAACACAGTACCCCTGCTTGGAAATTCAGGTTGTTTGGTAGAGGGGGAAACCTTTACTTAGGGGTGAATCAGACATGCTGGCCTGGCTAGTGGAACATGGCCTCAGAACTTGACCTAGAGTAAAATAAAGGGTCAAGGTTTGAAAATTAGAACATCAATCCAATAGAGGTTCTGCCTCCCTATGTAAGAACGAAACAAATAAGGGATTTATGGGATAGAGAGAAGGAATGTAAGTCACGTGGAGCTCTCAGGGAAGACAGCCCCATCCACAGAGCTGCGCAGAGAAGCAATGATAAGGGCTACAGTGAAACCGTGAACCTGGGAGGTGTGTCTAGGTGCCAGTTGGAAAGAACATAGGCAAATGTTTCTTTTTCGACTTAGTTTCCACGCAGCCCACAGTATTTGGCTTGGAAGGTAGCCATGGTGACTAGAGGTGAAAGTGTAGTGAATGAAGGTTTGCAGGCAGGATCTCGGGGAAGATGGCCAACTCTGAGGACTGGGAGCTGGGCTGCCGGGAAGGGAGGAGAGCTGGGACTTAACGGGAACAGGGCACACACGTGGGGCCTGGCCGAGCTGCTGGGGGACTGGCCCATATCAGGGCTGAGACTAAGTGGGGCTCCACGGAGTCACTCAGAGTAGATGTCTTTGTAGAAGAGCGTTCCGTTCCTGCACCAGAGGAGCTGTGAAGAAGAGTAGAGAAGGACAGCATCTAAAAGACCTAGAGGTCATGAAGATCAAAGGAAAATGATACAGGAATGTGTATTACTCTGAATAATGGAGAATTTTTTCTTGAAAAAGTTTTGGCATGGTGGACAGAAGACCAGATCAATAGTCCTGTGGGCCTGGTTTGAACCTTCTTCTTTTTAAAGATGTATTTATTTATTTATTTATTTTTAGAAGAGGGGAAGGGAGGGAGAAAGAGAGGGAGAGAAACATCAATGTGTGGTTGCCTCTCACGCGCCCTCTACTGTGGACCTGGCCTAGAGGGACCTGGTCTGCAACCCAGGCTGAGCCTTGGCTTTAGCAAGAACAACATTGCCTCAACTTCTCCATCAGTAAAATACAGATGATGCCTTTATCCTATGGTTATTGTGAGGATCAATTAATTCAATATATTTCATTGAGCATGAGTTAATTCATAGGCCAGACGCTGGTATAAAGAACTTCCAACAAACAGCAGCCATCGTTAACATGCAAAGCACATAACAGCAGCGCACAGAAATGTTGGGAATTATATGACAGTACTTAATCCGATTCATATTCCTTTCATCTGGTTCTTCCACTAGATTGCCAGCTACATGAAAATATGGTCTGATCTAACATGTTCACAAAGTCTGATGCACAGTAGAAGCTCAATGCATATTCCTTTCAGTGAGCGACTGAATAAATCATTAACCATTTTCATTGTTGGATGCCCGGGACAGGGAAGAAACGACAGGAAGGCTGGGAGGTCAGGTCTTGCCCCAACCATCTTGTTCTTCCACTTTCACCAAGCGCTGCCTGGGCACATGCACACAGTCCTGGCCAAGCCAACGCCCAGAATCCACTGCAGACAGATTTGGTTGTGTTTAACTTTATGTTCTGTCTTAGAGGGAAATTTCACAGATTAAACAATCTGTGGCAGACTGTTCTCAAGTGCCTTGATTGTAGAAAGTACGACAAATGCTCACATCCTGCATTTAATTAAGCCTATACTTGTGTTAGCCTGACTAACTTGAAACAAAAACAAAAGTTATCAGTAGGAAAACGAGAAACCCCATGGAGATTTTGAAGTCTCCTAACTTAGACTTAGGTAGAAATATTCTCATGAGATTCCATCCCATTTGGGAGGGAGGTAGAAAAGGATTCATTTCAAATCTGCCCCACAAGCTTACAACTCATGGTAAGATGAAAAGTTATGCTCAATATCTGTCTATCTACACATACACACTCACATACATACATAATCATAGAGTTTACAAGACTGGCTGGCTGTTGGTTTGAGTCCTGGACCTATTTCTTATTAACCATGTGGCCTTGGACAAGGTACTTAACTTCTCTATGTCTCAGTTTTCTTTTCTTGGGTAGAATAAAATCCAATTCATAGGGTTATAGAAATATCATACATAAGATAATACATAAAAAAAACTCTTAGCATTGTCTTTGGCTCATCGTAAGCTTTAACAAATGTAACCGCTATTTAATATTATTGATATTCTATAGTCTAAATTGTGTAATTTATGGTATATATAATATACAATATTCTACAGTAGAAATGGTGTACTTCCTATCCAGCCCCGGGGTTCCTCAGCCCTGGCACTGTTGACATTTGGGTGGGAACTTCTGTAGATAGTTCTGTGCGTGCTAGGCTGTGGGGCAGCATTCCTGGCCTCTACCTAACAGATGCTGACCTCACCCAGTTGTGAAGATCAAAATATCTCCGGACGCTGCCAAATGCTCCCTGGGAGGCAAACCTCCCATTTGAGAATCCCAGGTTAGGGAAAAAAAAAAAAAAGCAGAGAGCAGCCCTAGAGACAGAAGACCTAGTTTCTATGAATTCATTTGTGATCTTGGTTAAGTTGACTGTTTCCCCAGACCTTGGTTTTCTCACGTAGTAAAACAGGGCAGGAAGTCCCTACTCCATCTTCCATGATTTTCGTAAGGGTAAAATCAGAAAAAAATCAAATGTGCTAGAGAAGCAGTATAAAGCAGGGCTGTGCTATTCTTATTTTGTCAGAGGCTGGCTATGGAGGGATAATGGCAATGAGCCTTGCCCGGAAACAACGGTGGATGCTGACCCCTTCTCTGCTTTAATTCTCACCCGGGGAGCCCTGGCCTCCCTGTCCCTGTAATGCATGGATCTGTGTCTTGGCCTGAAGAATTCACGAGGAACTGTTTTCTTTCAAAATGAAATCAAAATGTTCTATTTAAAAAAATTATTTTTGTAAGTGGTGAAAACTGCCTTGTCATCTCTAGATTTAACTTTCATCCAAATTTATCTCTCACATGACTAGAATGAACTGGTCCTCAGAATTTTAACTGTGTCCTCTGTAGACTGATATTCAAAAAGAAGTATTCAGAAGGTTTCCAATATCACTGCATTGATTAATACTATCCTAATGTGCTGCCTAATACTCTGATAAATGTCTTCATCAGCAAGGGAACATTTCTGCATGTCATAGCATATTACGGGAACTGGTGTGCTGGAATCCAGAGGCTGGGCCTATTGTCTTTTCTTTATTTATTTCCGAAAGATCTTTAAACGAGAGATAGAGTATCTGGGAAAAGTGCCTGAGTTGAGTTACAGCTTATGTGGCTAGATGGTGGTTCAAGGTCCAGTCCCACTGGATGTGCGATTTAGATGAGCCCTGTAGCCCTTCAGAACCTCAGTGGCCTGTTATTGTCACCTGCCATGTAGCACGGTTAGGAGTTTTAAGTGGAGAGGAATACATAAAGCAAGGAGCATCATTCATGTGCAAGGTAGGTGCTTTGTACATGTAGGAGATCTCTCTCTGACCATGATCAAGGACGATTCAAGGATTTCATTCATCCCTCAGAGCTTGTGTTTGGTCTGACAGCTTCAGAAAGGCCCTTGAAATGAAAACCAATACTTCTTAGGTATAATTTAGAGTCTTGACTTAAACTAATTGTAATGAAACTTGAACTGGATTATCAGCAAATCTTCTAGGTTATGAGTAAGTCACCTCCATACTTCTGATGGGTATTAGCTAGAAATTAAGGGTCAGAAGTCACCTAAAGGACAACTGCATTCACCCAGAGTGGAGCAAACAATGTACCTCTTCCTTAAAATAATTCATTTGGTTTCCTTAAGGACACACAGTAGTATCCTGAGACAGCACAGCAAAGTGCCCGGAAGGTGAGCTTGGAGTCACACAGACCTGCCGTCAACCAGCTGAGTGGTTTCTTCATTAGCAAGGGTTACTACGGTCTGCCACAGTGCGAGGGTGAGTGTAAATGCCTGGCACAGGGACAGTGCTCAGTAAGTGCTGCTTTTACCCTTGGCTCTCATACAGATCCTGTTCCTCACTGTTTTAGGAGACAGGATGGGGCAACTGAGTACATCATGATAAGTCTACAACTTATTTTTATTTCTTTTCTATTAATGTTGAATATAGCATGCAGGGAAAGTCATAAATTATTAAGTGTAAACTATTTAAAAAAGAAAGGATCATTTGCTTTGAAGTTTCCAGTGGTGGCTCTGGTAGAGTTAACTTCATCATTTGTTCTTTGTGCTGCATCTGAAGGCATTTTGAAGCCCAGCAACACAAAAGGGGTCTGGTCACCTCTTTTCACACTTGGCAGGTCTAACCAGCCACAAAACTGTTCTGCAGAAGATAGTATGGTAACAAGTAACATAAGAATGAAAGTGTAGAATAATAGTTTTCCAAATTGTCTTCACTAAGAGTTCTTTTTAGTATATTTATTGCTTTTTCTTATGGACCTCTTCAGTCTGGTGTAGCTTTGTCTTCTGTGTCCGGTAATGTCTGTGCTAACTACATTGTGTCTGTACTGTAAGTGACACTTCATTCCTCTTTCAAACCCCCTGCTCCATCATGGGCTCTCCCACAGACTATATACTACTTATAATAGATTCCTATACTGACCATATAATTATTATAGTAGATACTATTGAGGAATCACTGACTATCTTCCTGATACCATATGGTTGTTCGGGTAACAACTCCTTCAGGCTCACAGTGAACTCCAGGCGCACATCACTTTCTCCATTGACCACCGCGGCTGTCCCAGCAGGGACATCCTGGCTGCCCCACTCTGCTTGGGAAACCCTGTCACTCTTCCATGAGAAGGAGGATCAGGAAGAGGAGTCAGTGCCAAAAGAGTACCAAACTCCAGGTTTCATCAACATTTTCATTCTCCTTGTCCTACCCTGCAAACATTTTCTAGAAAAATGAGCAAACTGATTCAGGAATTTCCCTTTCTTTTTCTACTTCTACAGTAAAAGAATGAGACGAGGGACACAGTTGATCCACGAATTGCCCGGAATAACTGAGTAATCACTGCAGATTGCGCCTGCCTCGTGGGTGTTCTCAGGGACACAGCAAACAGTTGTCTTTCTGCTTCTACTGCGCCTGCTGTGCTGCAAAGGGGCACTTGGACGGGGGCCCTTGTGGGTGATGTCTTCTCCCACTGGGCTGGCCAGAAAGTCCACTACATTTTTCCTGTACAATGGCTTTAGTAGTGCTTAGTTATCTTTAACCTCATTTGAAACAATTTTGTTAGACTGTATTGTGACAGCTGTCATATCAGCATTGCACTTAAAAAAATCAAAATTGGTGAATTTTTATGCAGCCATTTTAATATTGAAGATGGAATAGACCACATATTCACCACATTATACTCTATTGTTTCAAGAAAGGTAAAAAAAGGAACTGAGACACAAATAAAGCTTTGTGCCGTGTATGGAGAAGGAGCTGTGACTGACTGAACACGTCCAAAGTGGTGTGTGAAGTTTCTTGGTACTACTGACATTTTGGCCACATAGTCCTTTCCTGTGGGGCTGCCTTATGCATTGGGAGATGTGTAGCTGAAGCCTCGGCTTCTACTGACTAGAAGCCTATAGCGGGAGATAGCTGACATACTCACAATATCCAAACCAATAAAGTGATTGGTGAAAATGAAAAATGTGTCTTTTATTTTATAGAAAAAATGTAACCGCCTTTTTGGCCAGCCCAGTATATGAATGACTATGATAAGCTGCTTCACTTGTGCCTCCGGAGAGACGGTGCTTGTTTTACCCACAAGCACAGTGGCTGCAGGAGTGACAGCAGTCTACTCCTTGAGAGTGGGTTTTGGAACGCTAACGGGTGTCTTACGGAGAGACCACAAAGTTTATCTACCCGAGAAACATCTTGAGAGCAAACAAACACCGTCCATCTCCTTTACCCCTTATCGGATTCTGCCAAGGATGGGGGCAGGGGACCACAGAAAGGGCGACGACTTGCTATTTACCGCAGGCTGGGATGTCACACAGTTCCGATTTGAAGTTTTCGTCCAGGGTGAAGCACCAGGGCGCCTCCTTCTGGTTCCCCGGGTTCCGGCAGTAGGAGTGCCCCCCGTTCAGCTCCGGGAAGCGGAGGGCGGTGAAGGTGTGTGTGTGAGGGTACTGGGAGTTCCATGGCTGGCACTGGCGCCCGGATTTGGTCACACTGACCGTCCCTCGGTAGTCCACGCCTGTGCTGTTGTAGCACTTGTGATCTGAAAAACACAAAAGAAAAGCTCAAACCGTGAGAAAGAAACAGAGGCGATGCTGCCACTCCCAGCCAACAGTTTCTGGATGGAGGTCGAACAATTAACTTCCTGGCCGAGGCTTCCCTGCTGGTCAGGGGCCATGCAGGCGGTCCCCCTGCTTGCTGGGCTGGGACACAGGGCCTGCCTTGCAGCTACATTCCTGGGAGGATTTAAAGCTTATGCTTTGGGAATAAAACCAGTACTCCACAATTTTTAATACTGGACATAGGAAAAATCAAAACTGGGGCATATGAATTAATTTCCTAGTGAATGGTTCAGGGAAGGTTCCAGCTACACCACTCTTTCCACTTCTGCTTGATGGCTGCAGATCCAAACCATGAGATAAAGAATCTAACTCCCAAAGAGCGTTTGTTCGAGGCAGTGCGCAGCGGGCTTCTACCAGGAGTTAAGGCCGTCTTGTGCTGATGGACTGGACACCCTTGAGAAGCAGGTCTAAACGCTCCTCTCAAGTGCCCATGGGGCTGTCATATGAAAGCAGTAACAACAAGATCTACTGGGTTGAAAGAAACGGAAACTCAGAGAGGTAATGATGAGATGGTCATAATAAGAGTACTGCGATGCTATTGCTATTATTAGGTGCTAGGAATAATTCTAAGCATTTTAGATGCATTAAGTTATTTAACTAATAAGATGAACTACCAGAGGGTATGAAAAAAATTACCAATGACTTTAATTCTGGATGAACGGGAAATGTAGAGAGGAGCAGTCTTTTGCTTGGTACTGGTAAGAGGACAGAGGATGGAGACAAGCCCTGTAAGTACATCCTTCAAATTGCGGTACTAGACACTCGCCGTAAAATGTACCATTAATGTGTTTAAAACACTCAAAACGTTGTGCGAGCTCCACACTGTCTCATTCCAGAACACTTAAATCACCCGAAAGGAAACCCTATACTCGCTGAGCAGTCACCCCCCCCCCCCCAGCTCCCCGACCCCTCCCCCAGCCCCTGGCAACTACTGATCTGGTTTTTGGCTCCGTGGATTTGTCTGTTCCGGATAATGCATATAAATGGAATCATAAGAGTGGTGCCTGGCTTTTTTCACAATCATAACGTTTTCAAGGTTCAGTCATGTTAAAGAAGATTTTGTTCCTTTTTATGGGAGAATAATAATTCATTATATCCTTTTCATGGACAGATAGTACCTGCTCGTTTTTATGGATGAATAATATTTCATTATGTGGATATACCACAATTTGCTTCTCCACTTACCTGCTGATGAGCATTTGGCTGGTTTCTACCTCCTAGCTACTGTGAATAAAGCTGTTATGAATATCGGCATATAAGTTTTTGTTTGAACACCTATTTTTCATTATTTGGGGTATCTACCCAGGATTGCTGGGCCATATGGTTATTCTATTTTTAAATCATTGAGGAACCAGCAACCATATTTTAAAGCGATCTCCAGGAAGCTTCTTAAAGGCAGCCCGCACATGGTAAGTATTTAGCCCACTGGAAGGTAATCTGACTGTCACCAGAAACCGTTGCTGTGGATCAAAGTCCAGTGTCACTGCGCCAGGGGGTTGCTGGTGCCCTGGGCGGAAGGGAGGGTCAGGGGCTGCCACCTACTTTTATTGATAGGATCCGCCATGGGAATTCCAATCCGGATACAGTTTGCTGCTTCGGGGCTCTCTGGCTGGGGGAGATCTTCACAGTTTGGCAGCTTCAGCCTCATCAGAATCATGGGATTTGATCTTGCAAAAATGTACTCTGTCTGACACAGGACATTTTCCAGGATTTCACATTCATCGCGACACAAGTCACGGGGCTTTGGGACGGATGAGGTTTCGTCGCAGTAAGGAAAGGCGTAGTGGCACAGGGAAGGAATGGCGAACTGAGAACACTTATCTGACAAGTGACTGGAGGTGCCAATCATGGTGAAGGCAGCTGGAAAACAAACAAGATGGTTAACTCCTGGGGGCCCGGGCTTATCTTTGGTTATCTAGTCACCAAATGTGAGATGTGAACACACAGGGCAGGAGTCTGCTGTGCTCACACAGACAGACCCAGGCCCAGAGGAGATTTGTGTCACATGTCCAAGCACAGTACTTTCACCGGCTGGAAAAAAAAAACATTTTGACTACAAAGTTTAAAAAAACAGGATTAAGTTACATATGTACCGTTTCCTAATAAAAAGAATTAATTGGGTTAAAGTACGATATATTTTTCATTTTTACTACAAAGCAACAGAACTTTCTGTCTCATCCGGTGCTGTTTTATTGGTTGTGTGAGGCTCCTCACACATCTGACAGCTGCAGGGCAGGACTTGCCTGATGCGCTGGCGGAGCCCCAGCGCGGATCAGCTCTGGCCTGGCCTCTGAGCTGGCGGAGGATTTTGGGTAGCTGGTTTAATTTCTTTGTGGCTTGAATACTTTCTACTCCATCTTCTGAAAAGGAGTCACCTCACTTAGGAGTTCTCCAAGAGCACAGCTCAGTTGTTCCAGTGAGTATGAAAGAATGTTAGTGGTTGCTGAGCCTAACCTCTCATCCGGGATGGTCTCCGAGTGCAAGGTGAGGTCCAGCCTCTCTTTGCATGCCTCCCGGGACAAAGAGCTTACTCTGTGGCAGCCTGGGAGGTTGCTGGTACACTGCTTCCCAAAGAATGTTCCTGAAAACGATAATTCTGGATCATGTTGGAGAAGCTGGGGTTCCATGGCCAAAGAAGTTTGGGAAATGCTGGGTTAAACAAAGTTAAGTGGATTTATTTTTAATTGTAACACTTTCCCGCACACTGATGTCCATTGAAAATGCTCAAGGGGATTATTATAAATGCTTATTACAGAACTCCCATTTTGTTTTGTGAATATTTAGTAAAAATATGCTTATCGTTCTCCTATGAGGTTGTGATGTGCCTTCAGCAGCCCTCCTCCCACCCCCATCAGTCCTACCTCACAGAACCCTTCACCTTGAAAGCCTGAGGGCGTCAGCAAGTGGCAACTACTTCTTCTTCCTATTGTTGCTTCTCCAGGTTAAACAGTTTCCTCTGTCACCTCTTTGTTCTTTCAAATTCCTCAAAGGACACAGTTTCTAGACTTTTTGTTGTTCTATGTGCCTACCTTGGGTTTGTTCTTGCCTCTCTTAAACCCCAGCGTTGCCAGATCAACCACAAGGCATCCAGTTACATTCGAATTTCAGAGAAACACCTGGTACATACTTCTAAGAAATTATGTTGTTTATAAAAAATGCAAGACATAACTGGATGGCCTGTATTTTTATTCGCTAAAGCCAACAACCTTATTAAAATCTCACAAAGGCCATTTGAATGGCTTGGGCACAGAGGCATAACACCGGCACTAAGGGAGGAGGTACACGGTGCCTTGGCCACCAGAACTAGGTGTGCAAAATCGTGCAAGGTAGCCTACACTACAGCCTATACGACCTAACTCATGGGTGCTAACACGTGCTTCACTATTAGACTTCCTTTAAGGATGCTTCCAATTCAGAAAAACGAGGAGTGGAATACGGCGAGCTAGAGCAGGAAGAGCCCTATGGTCATCTTGCCTCATCATTCACTTCGCAGATGAAGAAAGAGATTTTCACAGAGAGGAAGAGATTCCCCTAGAGTCACGGCAATTCTAAATCCATCCCCTTTCTGTCTACATGGTGTTGCTTCCAAACGGTAAGCTCTGTGAGGGCAGAGACCACCGGGCTTACTCACCCGCCACACCATCATGTGCCCCAGGGCTCAGCCCAGTTCCTGGCACACCGAAAACACTCAGTAACACTAGTGTCTGAACAAATGTGGGGCTTATCAAAGCTTCCCTTTTCTCTGAGAGCAACCTTCAATACATTATTTTAATGTAAATTCCAGAGCAGAGAGATACTATCTAATGCTCTTTATGGTCCTAACCCCAATGTCTACCCTACTCCTTTGTCAACAGAGGCACCTAGTGCCTCTGTTGGTGAAAAGAATACTTCTTTAAGGTATTAATAGAATTTCATTGGTAAACATACCTGTGATCTGATTTTCTATTTCCCCTTGCATATGCAAAGACTCCATATAGACAGTGCGGTTGCCAATAAATCTTGCACATGCAATCCCTCTGTATGGCTGACAGAATCCATCTTCTTCGTATTCATCTCTAAAAACAGAGCACATAGACATTTATTGATGCAGTATAGTATATTCACACAGTTGGATTTGACGGCGATGCCCTAAATAGTCACTAGGGGGCGCAGTTGGGCACAGTATCCTAAAGACTGGGCTAAAGGACCAGGCTTTTCCTCAGTTCCATCCATCACTTAACACATGTTGGTCACACTGGTCAGGTTCCCTTCACCTCCAGAAAACCGTCCTGAAGCACAGAATCATCCTTAAATATGGAAGAAAACACTTATTTTCGCAGCTGGTGGTGGGCTAGAAGATGATGTAGTTGTAAGAGCAAAGAGGAAATGAATTGGAAATCTGCACACATGTTCTACAGTTTTGTTTCTTTGCTTGTTTTTTAAACAGATTATTCCTGCTTCATGTGTGTGCTATACGCAAGATCCACTCCAACTGCTGTGTGAATCAGGTGGCTCCACGGGGTGACGAGGCAGGGTGCAGCGGACAAGGAACTAGAGGTTCTGCGGTTCCTCCCCGCCTGAGACCACATTATCTCTACCCGGCCTGGGAGAATTGTGGATTGGAACATTTCAAATGCGTCACGAAATCCAAGGGAATCTAGAAAAGATGCCAATGGAAATCTTCCTCTCACAATCCCCTAAAACTTTAAAATAGAATCTTTAAAAAAAGTTTTGCTGCCTTGCAATTACACTAATAAGTTTCATTTTTAAAAAGGTGTGGGTGGGGTAGATTTTACCCTGTGGACAGGAGACACTAGAAAACCAGGTGGTTAGAAATGGCTGGAGATGAGAGGCTAGCAATGAAGACCCAAGATGGCGGGTTCAGCTCCGAAGGACAGAGACCATAACCTCCTGCAAGGGCCCACGGTGAGCAAGAGGAGGTGCCAGAGCACAGAATGCTCAGCTGTCTCTCCAAAGCAGATCACAGCCAAACGAAAGACCACCGTCCGTGCTCACAGGCTGACTTTTACATTGGGGCCTCCTTCTCTGTTAACTGGGCTAGAACAAAATATCATTTCTCCTCTATGGTTTCTTTTAAGTTAAAGTACTTTAAAGCAAAAGTCAGGAGAAGCAGAATTCCCTTCCTGAGCCTGACATTTACTTACCAGAGGCAAGTCCTCTGAGCCCTGAGCCTTGTGTTCTTCTAAGATGAAGGGAACACCTGACCTGTCCTGTGGTGCGGGTGGAAACCCATAAGGAGCCTATCGAATAATGTAAATGCTTAAAAAAAGTACTGCACAGAGGGTAACACAGTTACTATTTACAATGACCAAAGAAGATACTTATTTTGAAGGACAATTATTTCCTAAGCTCCTACGTGGTAAAATGAGCTGTAGTCGGTGCTACGGCCCTGGACTTCCCCACTTGGGGGGTTCAGAAGACCAGGTGAAAGAAGTCTGATAGGGCTGATCCTCGAGGCAGAAGTTTCGGATGCTTCCTGCTCCTGCGCACGGGACCAGTCGTTTTGAAGGTGGAGATGGGGGACGTGTCTTCAGTTTGGTCCTGAAAACCGTCCGTATTGCAGAACTCTTAAAAACGCAGACTTTAAGTATGAATGCAAATGAATATATCATATACTCGACATAAAGACATCGAGGTTTCAATGTTGCAAAATCCTGCAAGCACTCCACATGTTTACTTTCATAAATCCTGGAGTAATGTTGAAGTCTTTTTGGCTTACATTTTACTTGGGTTGTAAAATTAACCCCACTTTTATTGGGTAACTAATACCATAAACCTATAGGGAGAAAGAAGGTTCTCGATGACCTAGCCTGGGATCTTGGAAACTGAAGTGTGCTGAGACCCCCACCCCCCCCCCCCCCGCCCCAGCCCCGTGCTATTATAGATGATGTCTTTCTATCCCCAGGCATTAGTGGAGCCCAGGATTTTAAAGGTGTCATTATGAGAACACCTCTTCCTCCCCCACAGTAAATTCTCAAGGCCTCGATTTATATCTCTTGGGAGGACAAAACCCTGGAATTACCCCCACATATAAATCCCCAGCCTACTGGGAGTTCCCATATTTTATGTGTGAGGCTTAGGCTAAACTCCTTACCACCTTTCCAGTTCAAGACTCTAAAAAGACTCTTTGAATACTTTCTTTTTTCCAAAATAAAATGGAATGTAACTCCTTGGCTGCACATTTCTTGTCAATGAAAGGCTTAGAGCTGCAGGTGTATTGAGGTTTTTACTGTGCCCAGAATTCCTGATATTCTGGCCAGTCTCCTGGGGACAGATATAAAATAACAAAACAAAACAAGGGTTTTTTAAAAAAATGTCATCTGCTAGGGAGTAGTGCTCAATCCTGACTGCTTATAAGAATCTCCTCAGGAAGTTTTTGAAAATGCCAAGGCCCAAACCCCACCTCAAACCTATTAAATCCTACTCTCCGGGGACTGGGCGCAGGCGTTCATGCTGTTAGAAAAGCTCTCGGTGATTTGGATGTGGTTGAGAACCACAGCACTAGAAAAACAAACCTCTTTTAAGTGTCTGCCACTCTCTGTGCTGGGTACTGTGCTAAGTGCTTTCTTCCCGGCTGCCCCTTACGTGGTGTTTCATCTGTATTTTACAGGGAGACACGCAGGTTCAGAGAAGGGAAGGAAATGGCTCGAGTTGGCAAAGCCAGTAAGTGGTGGACAGAGGATTTAAAGTGTAAGCTCAAGGCTTTACCCAATGTTTTTGGATCTGCAGTGGTGTTCTCTGCTTTTCAATACTCCCTTTCACTAAATCAGCCTAATTTATAAATAAGGGACTTAATTTTTTTTTTTTGATGTTTATTGACTTTAGAGAGAGAGGAAGGGAGAGAAAGAGAGAAACATCGACTGGTTGCCTCCCATACTCTCCCCGACTGGGAATGGACCGGCAACTTGGGTGTGTGACCTGACCAGGAACTGAACCCCTAACATTTCGGGGTATGGGACAACACTCCAACCAACTGAGCTACACTGGCCAGAACTATAAATAAGGGACTCTATAAGGTGCCTTTATTTTGTACCAGGCACTACATTTCGCTTACATATAAAACTGATATTAAATTATTTAAGGCTGACAACAATCTTATAAAGGTGTAGGTGTAATTATTCCCATTTCCATGAATGAGAAAACGGAGGGTCAGAAAGAGTAGAGAACTCGCCCAAAGTTACATGGCTAGATTTGCCCCAAACTAGTGCTTGTAACCATGGCAAACAGTGTCCTTCCAGATGGTTTGGTCATGGAAATTCTGGCACTGCTCACAGGGGCTTTCTGCTGTGGAGATGCCGGGTGGCAAAAAGGTTTTCTTTGAACGTGAAGTCACAACGGCCTTTCATCCTTCCCATTTTTCCTGCTGGCGTGGGCTGGGGGATAACAAATCCCCCTCCGGCACTAACCAGCCTCATGCTTCTCTCCGGCGTGCACTTCTTTCATCATTGATGTCCTCCACGCTCAGCAAATTAAAAACAGGAAGCGGCAAGGCGGCAAAAGTACAAGGGCACTTGCAATGAGCGTGCCTGAGGCCGCGTTCTGCAGGGAAGAAACGCGTGCCATGAAAGGGCAAGTGGAATCTTAGCCATTCATCACGGCGCTGGCACCCGCACGCACCAGCTACCTCCCGATGACGTCAGGAGGCAGGGCCGCCTTGCGATGGGGGCTCATGTTTCTCATAAAGGCAATTTCGTTACCATATCACCAGCCTCTGCAACCTTCCAAACTCACTGTCACGTGCTAGGGAAAAGCGAACACAGTTTGCGCTGCACCTCTGGGGTCTCCCGCTTTCCCCAGGGTGAGGGGGCTTCCAAGGGCTGGCCAACGCAGGCTGAGGGTCATTGTGAGTGACCGCCAACACTGTGGCCGCAGGAGGAGCATCTGTTCAGGAAGCCCCAGGAGAGGGACACGCTGCCACGGAGGGTGCAGACCAAAGCAGTTTTACAATGACAGTGGAAGTCCACACAAACTTCTGGGCAAACTTCTCAGGTCAGTGAGCAAAGGAGAGAATGCTTTGAAAATGAAAAAGCACATTGTTTTGAATATAATACGGGGCCAGACGTTAACATTAGGGGAAATGGGATGAAGTATATAGTTGACCCTGGAACAACAACGAGGGTTGGGGGTGTCGACCCCATGCAAAAATCCACATGCAGTTTGGGCTCTAGAGCCAGCCCTTCCCCGGCGTGGATTCAACAGTATTTCCGATCCGCGGTTGGTCGAAACCCACAGACCGGAAGGGCTGACTGTGTCTACTGAAAAAAATCCATACACAGGAACCCGTGCAGCTCTGACCTGTGTCATTCAGACCTCATCTGTATGTGGAACTCTGTACCATTTTTGCAACTTTGCTTAAATGTAAATGATATTTCAAAATAAAAAATTAAAAAGTCCTCTAGGATGGGGACCTTCTTCCTTCCAGTGCGCAGACAGATGGGAGCTATGGTTGTGGGCGGGGTGGGCCGGCCCTCAGAGGACTCTCTTTAGTCTTCGTCACAGCCTTACAGAGATCCCTCCCGGCCACTGAGTACCAGTTCTTAAGAAAAAGAATTAAAACCAGGGACTCAAAGAAATACTTGTTCGCCAGTGTTCATAGCAGTACTACTCACAACAGCCAAGAAGCGGAAACAAGCCCAAATGCCCATGGACAGATGGATGGTTAGACGTGGCAGAGACACTCAATGGAATATTACTCGGCCATGAAAGAGGAGCAAAGTGCTGGAGCATGAGACCATGTGGGAGGATGTCCACAACACGCTGCGTGCAATGAGCCAGACACAACTGCCCACGGGTCCTATGGCTCCATTACTTGAAATCCCTAGAATAAGTAAATCCACGGAGGCAGAAGGCACACTGGTGGCCACCAGGAGCTGGGGAGGGAGGAATGGGGGTGACCACTCAATGGGCGTGGAGTTTTGTTCAGTTATGATGAAAGCATTTTGGAATCAGATGGAGGCAGTGGGTGCACCACACTGTGAATGCACCAAACTGCCACTAAGTTACTCACTTTAAAATGGTTGGTTTTGTGTGTTGTGAATTTCACCTCCAGTTTTAA